CCAATCACAATAAATGCCACCAGTAATGTGGAAAAAGTCGATTTTGAAATGCCACCAGTAATGTGAAACAGAGGAAGTATTGGCCATCGTCTTTCGTCGAATCGGAATCGTCAAGCCCGATCTGCAAAAATACTCCATACTAACTTAATGTATTTAATTGACATTTTAACAAAGGAATAAATTGGCCATCGTCATTCGTCGAACCGGAATCGTCATATCCGATTCGCGACCGGTGATTGGCTCCCGTCATCTCCACATCACCAGCAGCATTTGGAAATTTCCATGGCGCTGATCAAGACTGCGTACCTCGTCCTGTTCAATCTCGCGAGCAGCCTCGGCTGGGCGTACGTGCTCGGACAGACGTTCCAGCTCGTGTATGCTGACCAAGACATTGCGTTGTCGTCGGCCAAGCTGTGGGGTGTGATTGATACCCCGTTGAAGGTAGTCCAGACGATGGCTGTGTTTGAAGTCTTGCACGCCATGCTCGGGCTCGTGCGCTCCCCTGTCGGCTCCACTCTCATGCAAGGTACTACAAACGTCGACAAGCGAACGATTTGTTGACTTGCAATGCTCGACGTAGTGAGCTCCCGATTATTTCTCGTGTGGGCGATCAACGTGTTGTGCCCAGACTCCCGCTATCACTGGGGATTCATCCTCATGGTGGCATCCTGGTCCCTCGTGGAAGTTCCGCGCTACGCCTTCTACGCTCTAAACTTGTTGGAAGCGGTACGTCCTTCAGTCGCCCAACACTACCCCGCTCATTCCATCGCGCATGCACGACTAGGTGCCTGACTGGTTGTTCTTCCTCCGCTACCATTTGTTCATGGTGTTGTACCCCAGCGGTGTCACGGGCGAAGTGACGTGCATGGTAAAGGCGCTTCCCTTCCTGTCCACGGGCGCGTACTCGATCCAAATGCCCAACACCCACAATATCTCCGTGTCGTTGTACGTGATCGTCCTGTTGACGCTCGTCGTGTACGCCCCTGGCTTGCCCTTCATGTACACCCACATGAACGTCCAGCGCAAGAAGGCATACGCCAAGAAGAATGAAACCAAGACTCTAAAGAAGGACTAGACAAGTTCACGTTTCCATCGTCCAGCGTGATGGCGGCTAAACGATGTTTTTTGCTACTTCCACCAACCTTGACCTGTTGCATCACCTCCGAGCTTGATCCTTCGACACAATTCAACGGCGCCAGTCCATCTTTTCTACATCATCCACGACTATTCTGAACGAAACACGGGCTCAAACACACCTCATATCGAGTACCCCTCGAGCCTCCATCTACGACGTGCATTTCGTTGACACAGCACGTTTATCAATCCCAGATATGCGATGACTTGCTTCTCCACCCTCATGCGCCAAATCTCGTCCATGAGAAAGTTGTCGTGGCGAAGGACAGGTGAAACCCGATCGCGTGATCAAGTTCACACAGGATGTGGATGCGGTCGCTGTAGCAAAACTTGTCGCAGGTACTGGCATCGCGCGCTTGACCGTGCTGAAGCAGTCGCAATTGATGTGGCGTCGTCGCTGCAATGCGACAACATCGTGGGCATCTGCGAAGTGGGGTGCGAACAGGATGGCCAGACTCGTTGTTGGTGTCATCTCGATGAGCTGCTGAAATCAAGTTCAGAGACAGCAGCAGGTATTGTATGTAGGAGGGGCATTCAGAATGTCCCTGAATGTCAAAGCTGAATGTCAAAGATGTAATAATAGCTGAGATATTCGCTGTCAGTTATAGACAGGTCTCCTTCGACGCCGATTTCGCCGCGCCTGCTTCAACGTCGTCGGTCAATTCGGCGAATTCAAACTCGGTGGACGCGGCCTTGACTGTCTTCTTCGGCGCAGCCAACCCCCGCGGCGGCGGCGAATCCACTTCGTCGTCATCCGATTCGTCCGAATCCGATTCGTCCGATTCCATGTCGACGAGACTCGATAATGCATTCGCATCTGTGGTGGCGCCCCGAAGCAAGATGGTGTCGTTGACGCTTACCATAGACTTGGACACGTCCGAATGGCGGCGGTTGCGCTGGAGCTCTTCTGTAACAAGCTCCGACGCCCATCTACCATCTTCTGGTGGTTGGGCAGCTTCCATGTCGTGAATGCTCGGGTACGACTTGGCGTTGGAGGACAATGTCGAGCGGTAGGCAGGTCGTTGGGAGGCGGCATCTTCGAACTCTTCGAAGTCGTTCTCGAGGACGGATTTGATGCGGCGTTGCTTTTCTTTTCGAGATCTGCGCACGACAAACAGAGCTACCAGCGCTACCAAGGCAATGCCGCCGACTGCGGCCGCGATGATGCCGGCCAAGGTGCCAGTGCTCATACCGTCGTCCGCCTTGCCGCTACTGAGCTGAGGCGCCGCTCCCGCGTTATTTGAGCTAACTGCTTTCGCATTTGCAACCAGGGGGACCTTCGATGGTTCGATAGTTGTCAACGCTGGGGTCGAGCTTGGCGAGGAATGGAGACCCCCGGCACTTTTGTTCGCGTTAGCCTTCGACGACCTTGACGATTTGGTTGTGGTCGCAGGTTTCTTGGTATGCGGTTTCGTGGAATGTTGCTTCTTGGTCGGCTTCTTGGTCGGCTTTTTCTTCTTAGGGGCCTTGCTTTTGTCCTTTAGCAGACGTGACGCCATGTTGTCAGCATCACCTGCCATGGACAACGAAGCTGACGAAGCGCAGAGCCAGGGACACACCAACGTCAACGTCGTGAGCACTGCGCTGGTCATTTGGTCAACACGCAATGAAGCGGCTCGGACGATCGCAGGCGGTCGATACCGTCCTGCGATTGACGACGTGAATTGCATTCCCCACTTCTGATTGGCCGTTGCAATTTGGTATTGATCTTGGCATTTGTATGGCGGTGTTGGACGACACAAGAAGCGTCATGTATTGGCAATTGACAAAGTCAGAATATTGAGCGCAGGCGACAAATCGCGCATCAGAGCTGCTCCGTCAACGGCGTCCTTCAAGGCTACCCATGGTGCATGCATGGCCAATTGTGTCTTGAATGTGCAACGGTTTGGGTGGGTCATCGTGATGCGCTCCACGAGTCGAATGACGTTCTTGTTTTGGCAGTGTATTTCCATGTCAAATTTTTCGATCCAAACCTTGAAATCGAGTCGTCCTGTTGCAAGCGATTGTGGGCTCGACGACGTGTCCTGTAGAAACAAATTATTTGAGAAACTTGGACTCTTTTGAAAATATATATTTTTGGTACCTGTAAAACGGAATCCTTGATACAAGCAGGATTGGAATCGTGTTCTTCTAACGAGTGACCGTGCATTGCTGGTGATTGAGGGCAGGCACCACAAGCGTCCTCGATCGCATTGGAATTGTCATGGTAGGCGGTGGGCATGCGCGTGTGTCGCGGCATGAAGTTGTCTCATCGTGTACGTGACTAGTCTGGCTTGATCTTAAACCCCAAGCCATTTCTTGCTGGTTTGACTGGCAAAGCAGTCGTTGTGAAGCTCAAGTGGGGCATGGAGTACGAAGGTTTCCTCGTGTCAGTCGACTCGTACATGAACTTGCAGCTCGCCAACACAGACGAATTCGTGAATGGCAACAAGACGGGCCATCTCGGTGAAGTTCTCATTCGATGCAACAACGTTCTGTACGTCCGCGGCGTCGAAAACAAGTCGACAGATCAAGACATGGGTCCATAGAGCACAGGATCGAGGACCAACGAGGATCCCGATACCCCTCCTGCCCGTGCTTCCCCCAGTCATAAGACGTTTGCCCCACTCTACCACCCTCATTCCTATATTACCTCGTAATCTACGACATTATCCTTTCGATTGACGTGATCCTCGGACGTCCAAGGCACATAGATCTTCTTCTCCCATCAACGTCGGTGCACAAAACAAAGGCAGTCCGATGGACATGAATATTCTTCCCCTCAGTCGCAGTCCTCAGCTTCGTGAGATTGTCTTAACATGGCGCTGGTCCTCCTCGCAGCGATTGTGAATGGAGTTTGTTTCACTGGTTGCAGGGATGGCTCAGTGCAACAATGGCACGGATGGCCGACCTGCGACTGCTCAAGGAAGGGCGACATCTGAATCAATCCATGGCATGCATTCTCTGTATACAAACCAGCCAAAGATAGCTGCTGGGCATGCTAGCCTAACGTGGCGCAGTTGAGAAGGCATCGCTGACACTGCGACGAATTGAGCTGTCCAACTACAAGCGAGACAGCATCCACTGGTGGAGTCGTCTTGGTGTGGAGCGCTCTTGACATCGCGTCTCGCAGTCGAATGATCGAAAGCATGGTGCGCAGCATTTGAGGGCGATGGTCCCACCAACACCGCTTGGTCAGCATCAAGTAGACGGTGGCGACTCCTGGCCACCATGCATTCCGTCCACGCCTGCGCCCCATGGCGCATTCCATGCCTAGCGAGAATTCTCCGAGGCAATTAAAATTAAGGTTGGACTACTGCACGCCTACAACTACTATCGTTACTTCAAAAAGCCGAATAAATCATCGTTCATGTCGTCGTCGAGGTCCCATGCGAACCCTTCCGACATGCTGACGGGTTCGACGCCGCCACCGCCGCCATGGTCGTCTTCCTTGTGGTCTGTCCAGTCTGCGTTCAACTGGCTCCGGAAACTCAGTGGCTCCCTTCCCAGCGGAGCAATGGAGGAGGTCGCTGGAAGGGGTGGGGTCGACGTCGGCGCCATTGCACCACTCGCAGTCTCTGTGACGGAGGCAGAGTTGTTGGTGGAGTTGTTGCTCGAGCTACCGGTCGGCCCCGTTGAGCCCGTGCTGCTCTGCTGTGACACCTCCACCTTGCGCTGCAACATGTGCTGATGCAGCCGCATCTGCTGCTGCATGGTCATTTGCATTTGAATGTGCGGCGCGTGCAGTTGGGACGACGCCCCGCTTCCTCCGGCAGACTGGTGTTGCGACGGACCCAAGGAAAACCCACTCGTGGACGGCGACGGGTCGACTCCTGGATGCATCGACGGTGATATGAACGCGGCGCCGCCGCCACTGGGGGCCGGTATCAACGGGAATGACCACGACATGGCTCTGTCTTTGGTTGTGTCTTCGCCGAGTTGAGCCAACTGGTTGAGCTGCTCTTGAAGGGGGTTGTTCACAGACGACGCGTTATTGGATCGCGTGACTGTGTGAAATGCGCTTGTCGCTGCTGGTGCTGTTGGGGTATGGAATGCCGTCGAAGTCCGTGCAAGGGCCTCCGTGGAAGTGGACAGCGCTGAGATCGGGTGGGGCAAGTGGTGGTGGGGGCTAGTGCCTTTGTGGACCGTCACTTCGGCGAGTCGCTCCTACGACCGAAATTGATCGTGTTAGCCGCCAAGAGGCGCGGCAGATCAGGTGCATAGAGAGACCCACCTGCAGCTGGCGCTGAAGCAATGCTTGCTCGTATAGTTGCTGCTGGATTTCTTCTTGAAATTGCGCTTGCATCTTCAGTGTCTTGGACTGCACATCTAGCTGCCGTGAAATGCTCGATGCGGCGGCGACAACCTTGGCGACCTTTTCGTCCGGATGGACGTCGTCGTCGTCCGACGATGCTTCTTCCATGTCGTCGAGCGATCGCTTTCGCTTGGGCATGATGGGGAAGAGCGATGCGACGGCGCCTTGCGGCTACATGAAGTCACGTGAGGTTGTGGGAACGATCTCGATGCGTACCACGACCCTGCCCTTTCGTTTTTGTTGCTTTGTCGATTCCGACACGCTTTCGTCGAAATATTTGAGAAACTCGACGCGGGACCGGTCGTAATTGAGGCGGTATTTCTGAAGATGCGACTTGAGGTGCTCCGTGGTGAGGCCATTCATGCACGCGGGGTTTCCCATCAGCGCCAAAAGCGCTTTGGGTGACGCGTTTTTGAGCCCGACATCGAACACAGCCGCGACAAAGAGCCGATGGAGTTCGTCGGGCCAAATGAATCGTTTGGTGCGTCGCTCGTACTTGCGGCCTGTGCTGCTAGTTCCGCCACCACCGCCGCCGCCGCCAGGCTGGGACGTGTCGGAAATGCCGGATTCGGCGCTCGTCACTTCGGTCGTGTGGTTGTTACTGCTCTTGCTGGCGGGAGTTTTCTGGTGGGATGGTGGGAGAATCGACGTTGCGCTGGGCAGTTTAGATGCAAGACTTCCTGGTTTGGACATGTGTACCACGGCAAGCGGTCCGCGGTGTGAGGGCAACGGAAGGACGGCCGGAATAGTGATGGTGCCTATAGATGGACGAGGTTGAGACTCCGTCAGGGCCAGCCACGAGCAAGCGCGGTCTATTGCGAGTTCCTGTGCTCGACGTACCTACGAAAGGGCAATGAAGATTCCGAGAGATTCGATGCGGACGTCGTCGGTCGGCGCTGCCTTCGCCGTTGACGTGAATCGACTTAGTGTCAAGTCAGTGGTGTGACCCAGTATGAGAACGTGCGCAGTTGCTCCCAGATTCATCTCCCACTGGTCGTACTGTTTTTTTACGTTTTCTCGTGCTGTCATACAAAATGGAAGGTATAAATAAAAAATCGTTGAATTCCAGCCCCCGAATCTCGATGCGTGGTATGCATTCTCACAGGTTTGGCCGAACCTCCACCATTCCATGCGGCTCCAACGCACAGTCGACCACAGGCGGGTGTGGCGTCGGCGATGGCGCTTCCGACGCGCTTTGTCCGCGGTTCGAAAGCCAGAAGCTGGGTCAATCGATGCACAATGCGTCCACAACCGCCATGCACTGGCAACGACGTCGAAGTTTCCACAGCCAGCTTCGATTGGCACGCTCATTTCAGTAGAGACTACCCCTGAATCTTGGATAGCATGATGTTGTACCCACTCTGTCGTCCAACCGCGGCGCTCGAATGTTCCAGTCCAACTCATCTATCACGTGATTGCGAGAGGTGCAGGGAATGCTGACAACACAGGTCGACTCCCCAGGCCGTTTTCATCGTGACACGCGCGAGTTCACATGATGGCGTGCAGGCCACCTGCTGATGTATACGTACCGACTCGAGCGATGCCAAGTGCCACCGACGGTAGTAGCAGCTTCTGCGAGCCCCATGCGCAGACCACAGCTGTGAGGCTCAGTGGTGTTGTCCTGCCATGTGTTCATGTTGCACCAATCGCCGCTGATTTTCAATGTGGATGGTCAGCAGCACTATCATTTTGGGGCGGGTGGCGTCGAGGGTGGCGGCGTGTCCATGGGGGGCGAGCCATGCGTGGAAAGCAAGCGGGCACTGTCGACGACTCTATTGGCGAATTTGCATTACGTCGGAGCGAGGGTCCGATGATGGCTCGTGTAGTTGGCACGGTCGACAGCATAACTCGAGGTCGTCACTGACACGTCGCCGGAGCTCTCGTCCTTCTCAGCACGAGCGGCTCCGACGTCAGTTTGCTTTCGCCGACGCTGTTTCTTCCAGCATTTGAAAAGCGCAGATAAAACTGCAACCAACCCCGCCGTTGCGCTGGTCGCAATCGCGCCAATCTTGTAGATGGACGGGTCAGTGCAGTCTGGTGGGTTCGAGAATTCTAGCCACGAACAGACACAATCTCCGTTTGCTCGGAGTGCAGCGCGCTGTAAGTTGCATGCACCCCGTTTCGTCGGAGCAGGGGTCGTCGATGAGCTGCAGGACGCCTCGGGGTTATTGCTGGCGACGATTCGCACCACTTTCTCCGACGAGGCGCTCATGCATGGGTCCTTGGACCACCCGCGGAAGTAGAGCGTACCGACGGAGTCAAAACATGCAAAAAAGATGTCCCCGTCGTGCTTCATGAAGGGATCCTTAAGTTTGGGAAGGGCAGTCTTGTTTCCTTGCTGGAATACGTACGTTACGTTGAGCACCCCCGGCCATGCGAACTGAAGCATCTCGCCTTGCTTGAGCTGCGGGACGTTGCGGACGAGAGGCGGCACTGGGTCAAACGTCGGCGACCCGGGGTCTGGCGAGCTACAGAAACAACACGCGGTCTCCTTGACGCACTCGGACCATTTCGTGGGGTCGTAATGGAACTTGGTGATCGTGTCCAAGCAAGTTGCACAGCAGCTCTTGGGAGTCTCGGTGCTCTGTCCGTCGACGAGGATGAAAGCGATGCTAGCGCACAGCAACCACTTGAAGCGAATCATGAGAAGTGCACGTGTGGCGTTGGAGCACACCGCCGCAGCGTAAAGGACGGCGGCACCACCGCATCGGTGCCTACTCGACGGACGAGGACGTACTCGGCTCCAGTTGACGAAAATATGTCATATTGGCCAATATTTCGAAGTATTTTCGAAAGTCATTCGAATGATACATAGTTGAAAGTATAGTGTGAAAGGTTTTCATTCGATATAAGAAAAATTCCCATTGTTTTCAATGGAAATACACAATTTGTTTTGATATTCCTTTTCTATATAGGCATTGCAAACAGGAAAAAAAATCCATGAAACTTTCAAAAGAAATTTGCAAAAATATGTCGGCTTACTGTGGGTTTTAGATACCGAGAACGGAGATGCGTGTGGTGGAACGAGTGCACGATGACCGGCCGGGGTCGGCCGGACAAGAGCGAGGCGGGGGCGCCAAGCCTGCTGCGGTGGCAACGACTGTAATCGACCGCGACTCCACATGCCCTGTCTTGGTTCGAGTCTTTTGCAATTCGTCTCACAACCGGTGAGTCCATGCCACCGAGGGGTCCGGTTGCTGACGTCGTTGTAGACCGGAAGCGTACCAAAACATGCACACAAAGTCGCTGGCGAACGAACTCCACGTTTACACGTGGCCGGACGCGACTTTGCGCGAGATCGCGGAACTCGTACAAGATGGCAACGACGACGCGCGAAAGCACAATCGCCTTGCCATCTCGCTCGTGTACATCGACAGTCGCGGGAAATTTGTGGTCAAGAAGGCTGGGATTGTCAACACAAGTCGCAAATCGCCCGATGAAGACAAAACCCTCGCGGCGATCGGATTCCAGAACGGCGACTTCTTGGACGTTGCGATTTTAAACTAACCAACACATCATCTCGTCCGCACTCGAGTCACGTGTCTCTTTCCGCGCACGGCCACAGCGGCGATTCACAAACCTAAAGTACGCTTCACTCGCACAAGGCTCTGTTTCCTTCGGCCACGTCGCCCTTGCTTCGATTCCCCCGTAGGTTGTTCACAACGTCGGATATCTCGTCACCGATCAGGTCTCTTGGGTTGTTGGAAGCAGCATGCCACATTCGTTTGACGCACAGCTTCCGCAGTCATTCAAGCGCATTGGGCGCCACTCCGTCTAGCCCTATCATGTCGACTCAGATGCAGGTTTGGCTCATGCATGGCATCTTCACGGTGCGTGTGTATGGAGCTGTCCTGGTTCGCCGCTCTGCCACCCATCATGTGAATCGGCAACAGCATTTCGGGCTCGGTATGCACGCAGCTTGGTTGTTAGATAAAGTGCTCAGGATGAAACTGCGACGATTCGGTCGACGGAGTGCATTATTCGTCGACCTATACGGCACCAAGGGGCAGCGCGACAAGATCTCGCACCCTTTCCGACGGGAAACTACGCCATTGCCATGGCGTATCTCTCACCCGGCCCCGACTCAAAACCAGGACATCCAGGTCGCGAACCAACTGCGTCTGGGAGCGGCAACGGCACCAGCAGCAACGCTTATCTCTACAGAGACCACGAGAGCAGTCTCCGGCCGGCCGATACTGATCCCTTCCACGACGTTGCCAAGTTCTAGCCCCAAAGACCGACCAACGACTAGGGGCTGTTCGTGGAACCGAAGCAGCACCCGGCCCCGCCCGTGCACCCGCCGCCAGATTTTAATCCGACCTCCCTCGATGCCATGTGCTTTCGCTCGTCATTGGGACCGCCGTCGGCGTCAACCTTGCTTCCTCTTCTATTGCCAAAACGTCGGGGCGGCATACCAATCGCTCGTCATGCTCCCGGGGGATTTGTTCGTTCGCACGTGGCGCTGCCTCATCGTGCCAATCGTTCGTTGCATTCTCCCACTCGTGGTCGCCGAGACAGTCGCCACTCGTTCCTTCGACGGTGGCGCACGTTAGCGCCTTTCGTGCATGTCGCGTTTTCTCTCAATGGTGGAAGGGGTTGCTCTTGACAATTGTGTTTCATTCGAGCTTCACGCTGCCATCGGTCCCGGGCCTCGCTCTGACGGCAGCCCCTACGGCAGTGCCGTTTAACTGACTTTGCAATTTTTCAAACGGGGAGTACGTCGCGATGTCCACGGCGAACGCGTCCATCGCGTGTGTGGACGCTACGGCCACGACCTTCCTCGCCATCAACCACACGATGGCTGCCGATTCCTTGGCCACCACGACCAAAGTTCAAACCACACGTCCGTTGACCAGCTCGTCGCGATCGCTGATCTCGTCGTCCCGGACAATACTTTCACCACGCTTTCAGCGAGTTCGCTCCAGCGTACCGAGGTGTTTTCGATTCCACTGGACGCGGTGGAGGCCACGTTGGCCGCCGACAGGTAAGGCAACTTTGTCCTGCATGTGCTCCGCGAGCTCCAAAATGGCTATGCTCAACGGTTTGATGTGGTTCACGCCCGTCGCAGCCGCGTTCCTCGTGACAGGGGCTGCATGCAACGTCGATACGCCGACCGTGCTGTCGCAAGTTGCTGTCCTGTTTTGGCGGATTCGTATCAAAATGTTCCACGCAGCTCACAAAATCGATATTTCGCCGCCGCTGGTTCATTGTCGTTTCCGCCGCGATTCGGTCGTTGTCTACATGACGGGTCTCTACGACGAGTTGACGTTCTCTACATGGGCCGTGACCGCCTTCACCAGGCGGGAGACCGCACCGATCTCCAACTCGGGCATGGTGAACACAATGACGCTGCGGACACGCTCCCCAACACAGCCCGTCCCCGCACTCATTGCATTTGTTGTCGCTGCCGACTTCCACGTCGATCACGTCGTCACCATGACCATCGTGCATGGGAATGACATGGCTTGGATGGGTAGTTAATGGAGATGACTCATTCCATTGCTCCGATCCCCGCTGCGTCCAAGTGACGCGCCACTTTCCTGCGACACGTGTACATGTGGATCCGTTTCTGCATCGACTTGATGGTGGCTGGCGCTGGGGAAGCAATGATGCGGGGCGACTTTGGACGGTGATACTGAGATGCCAAGCAAGGCTACAAGACTACGAGTCATCACAAAGTTGGTCGCCCCCACTCCTGTACTTGCAGCGAGTCATTCCCCCTCACGGCATCCCATGATACCGACAGCTCGATGCGCCGTGCCAGGCACCTCCAATCTCTTCCTGGGGCATCGAGTCCATCGCGCCTCGTTGACTTGACGTCGAACAGGTGTGCTTACCTTGATTCAATCATGCCAATACAACGATTACATTCTAAACTAGAACGTTTGATATCCATGCAGCTAGCCGCGGTCATGCTCTCAACCACCATCAGCACGCGACTGCGACGGCGAGTTCGGTCAGCATGTCGTCAATGTCGTAGTGCTCTGCGCAGAGTTGTTCGATTTGGGCTGGTGAGAACGAGTTGCTGGCGTTGGCAATCACGCGGGCGACAGCATTTCGTTGCGCTTGCGACAGCGCTGTGGCAAAGTAGTGTTCGATCATAGCTTGCGTTTGGCGGCCATTGATCGGGCCGAGCTCGACCTTCTTGTTGACACGGCCGGGGCGAATCAAAGCGGGGTCGAGTTTCTCCGGATGGTTGGTCGTCATGATGAGGATGCGGCCGGGACTGTCCACGACGCCGTCCAGGACGTTCAAAAGCCCGCTCAAGTTGAGTTTGTCCTTGGGACCCCACCCCGACATGCGGTTGCTCGCGACATTCTTGGGCCCTATAGCTAAAACATTCTCCAGGTCGCTGCTGTCGCCGTTTGAACTCTCGCTGTCGTCCACATCGCAGCGATTTCGACGGCGGCGCGGGGAGTCGCTTGCTTCGTCGAGTGCATCGTCTGCACCGTCGTCATCTTGTGCGCATTCTTCGACCTCCTCCGTGCCCACTTCTTCGTCAGGCTCTCCCGCAGGCGACAGCGACGGACAGGGCTTGCGGCGGCGCGGCCGCGACGACTTGTCGCCCTTGGACTTCCGCACCAAGACCACGCTGGACGCACAATCGACATCCTCCATGACAAACACAATCTGGTCGAAGCGGAGCTTGACCGGTAAATCCTCGCCGTCCAGACGAAACTTGAGGTCGAACATCATGTCCATCAGTTCTTGGTTCGTCTTGATCTTGCTCAGCGACACGTTCACGATGTGGCGCTTGGTGTATTGCGCGACGGCCTTGATCAAGCTTGTCTTGCCGGTCCCAGGGGGGCCATGCAGGAGCAGCCCCATCTTGTACGGAAACCCCTTGACGCCAAACTTGCCGCTCTTCGTCATAAAGTTATCCAGGAGCGACAGGAGCTTGGGCTTCTCGTCAAAGAACAAGCTATTGAATGTTTTGTCGTCGCTGAGCCCGTACCGCTTGTACTTGGCGACCGCCGCAGCCGACGACTTGCCAAGCCTCGACGACTCGTGGGTCGTCGCCATGTACATGTACCGGGTCTTGTCTTTCTTGTGCTTGGCCACTATAGCGTTCTGGTAGCTTTGGAACGCGCGATTGACAAAGCTGTCGATGCGCTGGGTCGCGTCCGCGGCACTCGATCGAAGGATAAACGTGATCTTCTTTTCCTTGAGGTAATTGGCATTGTCCCCGTTGTTACGGCTACCGCCAATGCTCTCTCTGTTGATGACTTCGTGGTAAAATTCGAGGTCGGGCTCGATCTTGATCCATTGGTTGAGTGGGGGAAGCGTTCCGATTTTGAATCGCTGCAGCTCGATGCATTTATTCTCATCGAAAAAGTCGTCGTCGCATGGATCGTCCTCACATTCAGCTGCGTCCGCGTTTTCGTCCCCTGGAGAGTTGAGGTTGTCGAGGAGTTCGTATCGGCCCGATTTTGTGGTCATGTCCAAGTGGTCGCTCAGGTAGATCGAAATGGCTTTCTGAAGGATGTGGTTGTGCTCGTCAGAGTCGTCGACTTTGCCCCAATTGTTGAAGTGCGTCTTGCGGTCGATGCGGCGCACGACCTCGTCGCCCTGGCGGTGAAAGCCGTTCCAGAGGTTAGCAAACATGGTCGTGAGTTGGTCAGACGAGTCAAATATGGTCTTAAACACGATCGGGATCAAGAGGCAGATGAGAGTGTCCAGAATCACGTTGCCCGTGCGCAACGAGTTCATCATTCCAAATTGAATGGCTTGCGAGTCCATGTCGTCGCAGTGCCTGTGCCGACGAAGGAGTCGAAGTCGACGAAAGCACAGTGACGACGCCAACGACAGAATGAATCGGCCAACGTGCGGGAAGTCTGTGGCAATCAACGGGCCGTTGGATTGTCGCACACCACTTCCAACATCCGACGTTCTTTACAACCGTGCAACAGTGTTGTCGACGTGGCAGAACGCCAGCACATTATTGTGTGTTGTGGCTAGTGGTGGACTGTAACTAATTTGAAATCGACATCTTGACCGCAGCCAGCATACCCACGTGTATCGGGGAACGTCATCTCCACTGCCGTGTCTCTCTGGTCCGAGACGTTTAGTTGACAGGGAATCTTTTCCCCTTTTTCATCGACGAGCCACGTCATATCGTATGGATGGAATGACCTCTTTGGACATCTCCCGCCGACACCACCACGTCTTGATGCCTCTTCTTTCGGTCTACAGGAACCGACGAAGGAAATCCTTCCCCTGTGATACTCGACAGTTTTCCAGAATACTTGAGCGAACTTGTATGCATGGGACAACAGGAAACAAGGGATTTTTACACCCAGGGAACCACAGCCCGTCAGTCTACACGTACTCGGATCCACATTCACGGCGTGATTTGGAGGAGGGTGCATGTAGGGAGTTGATAGCGCAGAGGAATTTTGGAAGTGATTCAATTGTCATCGTTAAATCGTTCTAGCTAAAGATCGCTATGCAGTACTCACGCGACCGTGTCGCGGATGCGGGTGCGGGTGCGCCTAGCTGCCATGTCGCGGATGCGGGTGCGGCTAGCTGCCGACTTCTACAGACCACGCACACTCGACGTCGCGGCATCATTAGTTAGGTCCTTTGGTCGCTACAGTGCACCTGTCTGGTCAATCGATTTTACTGTTTACGTCCTTGGAGTGTATCCCTTCCCGCAGCCAAGTCAACGGCTGGATCCGAATACTAATGTTGCCCACATGCACTCACCGATACTAGGGGCAGGTACATCCTCCTCCAAATCACGCCGTGAATGTGGATCCGAGTACGTGTAGACTTACGGGCTGTGGTTCCCTGGGTGTACTGATTTATTTCCCACCGCTAACCGAACGGGGCAAATTTGTTGATTTCTATAAATTTACAATATTGAATGTCAGAGGGATTTTCGAACTTTTGAACGCATTCACGTGCGAGTACAGTACAGCAATTCAAACGAGCCATGCTAAGCAAAATGAAGTTGCGGATGACTCTTGTGGAGAAGCATGAGTTATATGCGAAGCATTTAAGCGAGCCTAATGTATCCTACTCTGCCCTGGCCTTGTGGGCAGCTCAAGCATTTGGTTTCCGATGCTTGTCGACAATGCCCCGCTGCACCTGGTGTTCGAGACCATGCCCCTGTCCAACATCCGTGTCAAGAAGCTGCCACCAAATACGACAGCCTACCTGCAGCCTCAAGACGCTGGAATCATCGCCGCTTTCAAGGCCAAGATCAAGCACCGCCAGCTTAATAATGCCCTAGAGCTGATCAACGAGGTCGTTGCCGGTCGACAAGACCGGTTATTTGAAGTACCTCTTGATGTTGCAATGGGATGGACCAAGGAAGCGTGGCGGTCTATGACGCAGTCCACAGTGACGAACTATTGGGCTCGAACTGGCATCACGGTCGCCCACCTTACCACATTCAGTGGCAGATTGTCGAAAATGGAGATTGCTAATTCGTGAATATTTGGCAGTGAACGATATCCTTGACTTTCATTACCTCTAAGAACTTATTGCCTGTTATATTTGTTCGTGGACAACTGTTCGGCTAGAGGGGGGAAATCAGTAATTCCTGATGCCCATTGCTAACATTAGTGGTATTTCAGAATGCATTGTGTTGGGCAGTTCAATAGTGTGAGGTACCCTGGATGGATGGGTGGGAGAGTGATCCTTGGACATGAGAGAGCTTTCATGTGATGTGCATCTAATGTTGCGCTGTCGACACCTTAACATGTTAACATGTCCAATTTGGGGGCTCTGCATGTTAATACAATTTTTCATGTAATACAATCACTTTCAACTTACATTCATTCGACACGGGACCCGGAAGGCGGGACGCAACAGACGAGCAGCACGAAGTCATTCTTCGTGGGACGTTCCTGAAGAGCTATGATGTCTACTCTTCCAATGTTTTCGGCCGATACCTAACCAGCTAGTCTGATGCACAATGATACAACATCAATCTGTAGTTCGGATGGGCCGTCGCACGCCGATCCAGAGGTTGTCGGAATTCTTGGCGGAGACCCGCAACCCCCAGATCCAAATGTTCGCGGCCAATAGAGGCAACTGGATCTTGCCCAATGACGGCCCCTCATCCTCGACAGCCCCTGCGGGGGCCGCGTGGCAGGAAACCTGGAGTTTATTGGTACGAGGCTAGCCCCTAGAACATCAAGCGTCCCGTCGAAGGATGTGCTAGGATATGCATATGCTAGAGACTGTATGTTCTATAGGAGAACGTAGATAGATGATATAGCTAGCCTGAACGCCAAATTCACTTTTCCATTTGCACTTAAGCCACCAGTAGACCTTCCAGTCTACATTTGGTAGCGCTTTTTGGTTGCCACCGTCTACGCTCCGTGCCCCGTACCCGTGTCCGTGCCCGCGCCAAGCCCTCGAACTGTCGCTACATTTAGTCGTGAGCTCTTAATGGGACGTCAAATATCTCCCGTGGATAGTAAGTCCCTTTTACAGGCTACCCCAGACCACCAACCTTCTCACCACAAATTTGTAGTGACGCATACAAAGCGTTGCGTCTTATTTGCGAGAAGACGAATTGAGGGAAATTCAAGACAAGCGTCCGTGCCGCGTTTGAATTTCTTGGCAACGCCCGTTGCGATTCAAACAGCCAATAAAGTGCGACTCGACTTTATCGTACTAATTGTGCAAACGATCAACCTTAGCGAATTTTTAGCGCTATCTCAAACCAACCCTAATTGGGAAACAAGACCAATTCCTCAAGCTCAACCGACAAAGCCGTCAACTATTGAAGGAGGTCAAGACTATTTTGGCGCGCAAGTTCGACAAGGTTATTGGAATTGGCCGGCGTAAACTCAAGACACCAGCTCTAAATTAAGATTAATTGAGCAACTTAGTCTTTTCAAATAGGACTTCACAACAACAAGGATTGACTATGGAGCAAGCCTTTGCGCAATTAACCCAAACGGCTCAAGTACTTATGGAAAGTCAAGCAAAGGATATGAAGTCCCACGACGAGCTGATGCAACAACATCTGGAGTTGAAGAATGCACCTTGTCGGATGGAAATGAAGGTCGAGGGACTAAGTATGCCCAAGTACCATGGCAAACTATCGGAGGGCTTTAGCCCATACGCCCACCTAGTAAACACGTTCTTCGACGCCAAGAACATGAATCGGCGCGAATCGCCGGAAATGGAGGAACGTTGCCTAGTGATGGTTGTTGCTAACTTTCGTGGACAAGCTGCTGCCTGGTACCAGGATCGCCAAGCGAGTAAAGATGCGATCACTGCACTCGACCAACTGTCTAAAATCTTACGTCACGAGTTCGAGCCTGAAGACCTACAAGAGCGTCTGCGCGACAGTCTGTACTCGCTGACGAAGAACTGCAAGGATTTGCAGGAGTACGTTGAGAAGTTTCGACGGATACGCACTCAAAATTTATGATATGTCACCATTGGACAAGGTCACTCTGTTTACTCGTGGATTGAGAGTAAAGACGCGCGAAGAAGTGAAGTATCGCCGCTGCAAGGATGTAACCAGCGCGATACAAGTGGCTCTCGAGTACGAGCGAGCTCATGCGTTCTCCTTGGGTTATGGAGGACACGCAATGGCAACGGACCGCCAGCGTGGGGTCAAGAGCAACCGAGAGCGTGATCACCATCGTGAGCGTGTGCGCGACAACAAGCAACGTCCCACACCTCAAATGACTCAAGATGAGTCTTACGACATGGAAATCGTGCAGACTCGAAGTGGAGAACACCATGCAAGGATGGCCTCGATCAAATGCTACAACTGTGGTCAGATGGGTCTATTAGTCGCAATTGCACGTCCAAGCCGAGGAAGAAGGTTTCAAGAAGTCCTTCGACAAGTCATCAGCATCACGTCAACGTAGAAGTAAGAGATGAAAACGATGAACTCGTTGAAGACATCGTGTTCGAAAGCCACCACGTTGGAATCAAGGCTGAAGCCTTGCCGAAGGAATCGAGGAAAGTCGTAAAAGAAGACTTCGCCTTGTTGATCAAAGACGGTGTGTTGAATGTCTTACTGTGTGCATTTTGATCGACTGTGGTGCATCGAACTGTCTCTGCCGAACTGGGTTTGGGGAGAATGTGATCGAAAAGAAGATCGTGCGCATCTAGAGGCGTTCTTGATGCTGGATTTGAGGGCATCGAAAGCGGGCTGACAGTCGCTCGACCAAACCCATGGGGTATCCTTGACTAGCAACCGATTGAGGGGTTTCGCAATGTCGGCAAAACCACGATAGTACTTGTGGAGGTGGGTAGCCACGCCGAGCCACCGGCGAAGGTCGGTGACCGAGGAGGGGACTGACCAGTCGACGATGGTCTTGATATTGTTGGGATCAGCCCGGCAACCTCGAATGCCGCCGAGGTCTCCTAGTATACGGATTTCGTCGACCCCACATAAACCTTTGGAGTGGTTGGCATACAAGCCATTTTCACGAAGGACGGTAAGGACCGCACGAAGATGCCGACGGTGAACGTCGAGGTTAGACTCGGTTTCAGAACCGCGACGATGGATGTAGATGTCGTCAAAATATGACGGGTCGAAGTCGCGGAGGAACTTAGCCGTCACCATGCGATTAGGAGTCGCAGAGGCATTGAATAGGCCTTGGGGCGTCACGAGACACTCCCAAAGCATTCCACATGGTGTCGAGACGGCGGTCTTCGGCACGTCACAAGGCGCATGAGGATTTGATAGAACCCATCGCGCAAGTCGATGGTAGAGAATATGGTGGATCGATCCATGCCGTCGATAATCACATCTTTGCGGGGAATGGGCGTTTGCGCCGGAATGGTGGCGGCGTTGAGCTTGTTGAAGGCGTGTACAATGCGCCTTTTGCCGTTAGGTTTCTTCACACAGAACGTCGGGCTGCTGTGTGGGGACGTGACTTCACGTACGTAGACGGCTGCTTTACGAGCCGCAAAGAACGCGTCGATCGCTTCGACTTGATCGCGTGGAAGCGGCCATTGACGTGTAACGCAATACATCGTGCCGGACACGAGGTCAATTTCGTATCGTATACCCTTGTCAACGGGTAGGCGACAGGGGACGTTGTGGGAAATAAATCCTTGGATTTATCAAGGAGGTCAAAGAACGGGTTTGAGAGGAGGGAAGCCCACATCTGGGATTCCGCTACAAGACAGATTCGTCGGCAGTGGACGAGGATAATAGGTCGAGGTCTTCATCGCACGTAATCATCAATATGCACGCGATGTCGTTAGAACGGAGGGATTCAAAAAGGAGTGGTGGCTCATCTCTGTCAATGCCAGGATGTCTGAGGAGGATCGAGTCAACTCGTCGAGGTTGCAAGCGAGCTGAATGAACGCATCCGCAGTGACAACTTGGGGATTCGAGATAATCGGCGTTGTAACAAGGCGTCTGGTGAATTTGAGCCCAACGCGTTTGAAGGGGCGTTAGAGGGGCGAGGTTGGTGTGGGAACAAGATCGGTCGACCGGCGTTGTGGATACCACGGCGGCGTCTGCTAGTGGGTCAACAGAAAAGGGTACAACCTCTCGGGGTGAGGCTGCTGACGTGGGCTGCGAAGACAAGTGTGCTGGTACCAACAAGCGCACTGTGCAACATCAGTGGCGAGTTCATTGCTCATCACCGTAAGTGCTGGGACCGCGGATAACGCCGAAGGCTGTGAAGCCTTATCAGCGGCACGTCGTCGGATCAATGCTGATCACTGTTCAGCCAAACGACCTAGTGGATGGTCTTGAGTTTCCAATCGATCCAACCCATACCAAGGATGAGGTCCCAACATTCATCCAAATCGATAACAAACAACCTTTCGGGCGAGTCGAAATCGTCGAAGGTAACATGCAGCGTACCCTCTATGCGATGCTGGGCGGAGATGCCATATTTACGCGAACCATCTCAAGGGAGTCTGACACGGGAAAAGAGGCAAAACGAGCAAGAGTGGAGTGATTAGCATAGTTCGCTGACGCCCGCAATCGATCAACACAGTGAGTCGGGCGGGAACACCCGGGAGAAAAAGAAACCATTTTGTTGGGGCGTAGCCCGATAGCCCGACGCGGCACAGATGAAAGTCTGTGTTTGACATCCGAGTGTGACACGACTCCACACACCCCGGGAGAACCTATTGGTGCCCCAGTAGGGCGCCACGCGCCTACTGGGTCTAGTCGTTTTCCGCCGCCTGGTGGTCAGATCGACCAGGTGACCCAGTGGATCGTCCTTTGGGGGCGCCCGTCGTAAAAGGGCTTCCGGTTGATTGGGCGGGGACCAGTTGGGTCGGATCGCGCGTCTTGTCCAGAGGAAATGAGTGTGCATCGAGGGCGCGGCACTCACGCCAAAAGTGGCCCTTACGGCCGCAGTTGCTGCACTTGCCGTCTTTGATTTGGGATAGAGCGGAGATATACATATCCGATGGATCTGCGCGATTGTGCGTCAGGGCTGAGGCGTACGACTTGGCTAGGGCGATTCGAACAGCCTCTTCAAACGAAGCTGCATAGACACGGAAGAGCTGTGTATGTGTCGGACCGTGGTTGTGCGACCATAAAGACGTTGACGCGGAGCGGTTCCGGTAGCGTGGAGTCGTCGTCGACGATCGCAGCCTAAAAGCGAAGGTCGTGAATATATTTGAATATTGCGTGCAAGGAGCGTTTGCCTTGCTTGCATGCTAGGAACTTAGATCGATATTGGAAATCGCTGTGTTGAGGAAGGAAGCGGAGCTTCGTCTCCGCAATGAGCTCGTCAAACGTTGCAAATGATGTGGGGTTGGTCAGGCGGATAGAGTAAGCCCAGTCTTCCGCCTGACCCTTGAGATGGGAAAGGGAAAACGCCACACGTGTAGACTCTGGGTGATACGCAACGCATCTGCCGTGGTCTCGACTTGCAGGATCTACCGGAGGAGCTTGCCGGTATTGGACTCGAACTTGGTGACATCAAGCTTCACTGGCTTCACTCCCATGGGGGGATTGTTGGGGCTGGCTGTTCGCAGTCGCAGCTTCTTAGTATGCGCGGAGAGTCTGCGGTTGTTGCGTCCTGAAGAGGCTGGTGCTGCTGGGGACACGGAGAATTGCAGTGTCGAACTTCGATCGCGAAGTTGTGCGACCTCGGTTTGCAGGGCGGAACTATGTTCGCGCATGGCTTTGGCTTGTCCCTCGCTCTGGTGGAGCGATTCTTCGAGGGCTCGAATCCCTCGGTCAGCTGGCTAATTCGAGCTTCGGAGGGTTGTGTCGTGACATTGAGGGTGATGCCGATTCCTTCAAGAAGTCGCGCTCGGGTATCGACGAAGATGGGAGAAAAGAGCGACTGGGTGTCGCCTTCGCCAAGGATGTCGACCATGCGGTCGTATACAGTTTGGTTGGAAACCGTCATGTTCCTTGGACGAACTTGTAGTGCTATCAGGTGTAATCGGGCACACGCAGAGGAAGGAATTGGTAAAATGAAGAAAGAATTGGCAGGGTTATGCTGTCTAACCTGTAAATGTATATGGAAAGTTAAGGCGACTCGTGGTTAGAGTCGCTAGCAACCCAGGCAACTTGTTGGGAGGTCGCCTGCAACCCTTGAATGGTCGACTTCAACTTCAATGAAGATCTTGACATGCATCCGCATAACAGTACCATAAAGCCTTACTATAACCGTGCCAGTCGACTCAGCCGGGGTGGAGCGCGCGTGCACCTGACCAAGATGACTCCAGAGATCTCCATTCGTCTGGAAGAGTTCAAGTTCTGCCATCTGTGTTGATTTATCTCTAGGTTCATGGGAGCAATCCGGATAATATATCCGGAATGCAATATATCTGGAATGCCGTTCGTGCCAATAAAGCTGAACACGGAGGCCGATGGTGCGGTTCAAGAACCGCTACGTCGTGGCGGTCGTCACATCCAGTCGGAAGCTGCCGATCGTCCAGACGAGAGACCTGTATGCGCTGTTGCTGGGAGCCATCGCCAGCAACTTTGGTGATGTCGGCGCAGGGTTGATGCAGCAGTCGACGCAAGGTACCTCAAATCGTGTCTAGCGGGTGATTCATATCGATGGGCTGAGTTCGCCTGTAGTTGTGTACTACAACGCGACCACGCGTGTTGTCGTCGTGCGATGTGGGCGAGAGTTTGCCACGTGCATCCAGGCATGCCTGACCTTCATCACGGAATTCCATCACCAAGACATTAAGTTTGAAACCCTGCGCGTGTGTGGTATGTGGCGAGCCGCCTCGACACGATGTGTGACGTGCGGGCGACGTAGGCTCAAATCGTACGTGCAAAGACGCGCTTCTCGCGATCTCGCTGGCACGAATTGACAAGGACAATGCCATCCTCCGCGATACATTGAAACTGGAGATTGAAGGGCTCGAGCAATAGGGCCAAGTCGTGTCCGACATATTTACATTGCAACTGCACTTCCTTTTCAACCTGCCATGGCTTGACCGATGGCACAATCTCTGCGGTATGGCCCACGGACATGCAGGACACCCTGCAATCGCAGGTAGACGCCATGCCAACTGATGTCGAACCATGACGCTGTGGCTGGCATCTAGGCAACATCCACAGACAAAACAAATCAAGTTCGTGTTCTGCCTTGTGCACCTTTTCGCACACACTGCCCATAATCCCCGTGGCGCTGCACCAGATCGAGCTCTTCTAGCTCTCCTTTTCATGGCATGCGACCCGTGGGTAGTGGGGATTCGCCCTCGCGTCATGCAACACGAGGGGCTCAGCCGTCTTCGAGTTCGTCCTTGCCTTACACTCTCCGGTCAGCTTGCACTTCGAACGTTTCGTCGATTTGTTCGGCCAGGATGCGTGTCGCCATGGCATTCCCGTTCACGTTGAGCACGGTGGACAAGCGGTCCAAGAGAATGTCGGCGGTCACGATGAGGGAAAACGTTATGGGGAGATCAACTGTCGGGAAGCACGTCTTCCACAGCGTCATGACGTAGACTAAGCCTGCGTTGGGCACCGGCGCGGTCCCGATGGATCCAAGCAAACTCACAAAAAAGATGACGCAAAATCGAACGGGAGTCAGTAGGTCTCCGTGGCCGGACATCGTGGCCATAAACACGACCGCCAGGGGGTAGTAGATGCCGGACGCGTTCAAGTTGACAGGGGTGCCGAATGGCATGGCAATGTGGGCCAAGGACCGACTCACTTTGGTCCGTTGGATGCACTCAATGGCGACGGGAAGCGTGGCCATTGACGATGCGCACCCAAATGCAAACACGTAAGCGGGGATGAGCTGCTGCAGATACGTGTACGGGTTCACCTTGACCCACAGGTACACGACCAACGGCAGGACGACGATGGCATGGGAGACGGCGCCGATCATGAACGCGAGGAAGAGGTAGCCCATTTGAGATATGACTTCACTGATGTCTTGCTGGTCGACCTTGGCGATGGCGCCGCCCATGAGGAAGACGACTGCGACGGGGGTGATGGTAAGCAAGCCATTGAGCAGCTGTACGAAAATATTGCGCAGTTGCCGGACGCAGTTGAGCACGACATTGTCTGCGCCGTTGGGGGCGCTCTGGGCAAGTGCTACGCCAAGAGGAAATGAAAACATCACGATGCTCAGGAGCGACCCATCGACGAGGGATTGAAAAATGTTGCCGGGGACAAGCAAGTTGCAGATTGCGACGATATGGTCCACGAGACTGAGCTGGTGATCGACTATCGTGATCGTGGTGGATGTCGTCGTAGCCATCGTGTGGTTGGCCGCAAGGAAGAGTGCCGGCGCCGTCGCGTTGGTCGCAACACACCCCAACGTGCCGTTGGCAAGTAATGTCAGGAGTTTGCCATTGGCACACTGGAGCGTCAAATTGAACAAGGCTCCAGTGGATGCAGCTCCGTCCGCTGTGCCGCGCGGTCCTCGGGGGACGAAGTAGTCCTTAAATAGGAGGGCGAGCACGGTGCCTTGCACCGTCGACACAACAGATGACGCTATGTACGGGAGCAGCGTGCGCAGCCGCATGATGGACGACCGGCCCAGACACACACTTTCCGTCACGACGATTGTCATGACACAAAACACGAGCGGCACAATGAGGCATCGCAGTGCGCGCACGAAGAGATCTCCCGGCAATGTCAGTGCCTTCTCGAGCTCCGTCCCAATGTGCAGGTAATACATCCCGAAGCCGACGCCGATGCCGAGGAAGGCGCCGATGACGACGTAGAAGGACTGGAACTGCGGCGCGGCAAACTCGGTTTGCTTTGACTTGATTGATCCTGTCGACGTCGTTTCCGTGTGTTCCAGCACAGGGGTCTCAAAGTACGAGTCGTACGGGTTAGACGGCATGACGTTAGTCAATGGTTGGGCCGACATAAAGTTTGTGCGGACGTAGCCTGAGTCGTGCGGGGCATTGGCGGGGGCCCTCTTGCCTGAACTCGGCTTGGATGACGGGTTCGATTTGTACGAGAACCGCTGGGGCCGCGGGCTTTCTTCGAAGAGGAGGATCCCCTTCTTGGACTGGCGATTTGGGCTGCCCATCCGCTGTTGTCTGTGTCGGCAGTCAAATCGCAGAATGCCCATCCAAGAAACACACTGGTGCTACCTAGCTACATACCCCACCTTGTGCTTCATCCGACAAGTGACGCTGCGAGTAGAGGACCCCACCCGAGGTGACCACCAGGTGGTGACCAACGGGTGCTGCCCGCAGAGGGCCAACACTGACCAGGTCAGCTGCGCCTCGTCGTGTCATTTCACATCCACCGCCGCGTTCTCGTGCGCAAAACGAACGCAGCTACGGCTCGCCGAGGTTGCGATGGCCTTGGTGGCCACATAATGATTCAACTCTGCACCCTCTCGACTCGGTGGACACGGTGGTGTTAGAACGACGTAGCTGGGCCCGTGCACGTGTTGCGCCGAGGGCAGTGGTGCGACGTAGGTGTGTGTGTGTCTGGGTCCGAACCAGGCACAGCGCGCTGCGGACGTGTGGAAGGCAGAACCTGCATTACCTGAACCGCCACCACGTCGCGACCTTCGGACCATGTTGCGTCTCTCCCATGCCGGACCACTGTATATGGACTTGGAATCAGGGCGACATGGGATTTTTGACGATTTACACCCGCAACACGATGCTCTCGCGTGTAGCCGTAACTCGCCGACAGACAAGATGATGATGGCAGGTACGAGGCCAGTTCACCCAAACCACGTTTCCGAGAGCATTGCGATGGCGCGTCCCCATGGAGAGAGGGAGGGCCACGTCGGCAGCGATGTGAGACCAGTTGGGAACAGATCGAAGAAGGCTCGTCCGTCGATCGCTAGTTGTTGGCGATCTTCGTGCCACATCGTTTGTGCAGCATGTTGAACTCGGTCGACACAACTTTCATTTGGACGACTTGGTCACCCACATCGTTCCCAGAACAACAACGTTTCGCCCAAACTGTACTGCGGCAGCAGCCAGCGGAGCGATCTCTAGCGCGGGACCTCTGGCATGCGATCAGCCATCTATGCGGCGTTTGCTGGCCATCTTGGACGACCGCCGGGTATTTTTCACGTCAGATGGGTGAGATATCACAATCCGCTGACGTCCGGCAAAACTTGGGTCACAACATTATTCCTTCGGTTCGTGGAGGATGTACAAAAATCAAGTGAAACTCTCGTGGCAGGACATATCATGCAAATGGAATTTTCTTTGTATGACTGTAGTTCGTTACATTCCGATCCTTATTGCACAACGTCCATCCATACAAACAGGGATGACAAGGAATCTCCATCGTTGTCTGCGATGCCGAGTCGATGGAACAGGATGCAGCAAGGTCTGCCAACGTTTCGTTTTCGACCGAGTCATCATCTTCGAAGTCATCTTCATCATCGACAGCGTTAAAGTCATTGTCCACCACGCCGTCCACCTCGTCGACGAGGCTGCATGTTGGAAAGCCACTCAATTGGACACTGGTCGGTCAGACCAAACGTCAGCGTTCTACCTCAATTTGGTCTGCTGTGTAGTCTGCTCAACATCCGTTGCAGCCTCCAATTCCATGAGCGGGTGCATGTTCGCTATCCCGGCACGCCGTTGCACGCACAGTTTGTACACGCCGTGCCACCTGCTCGTCGACTTCGGACGGCAGTGTTGTCCGTGTGCCCACCGTGCGTGTGGCCATCCGGTTCGCTGTGCGTGGACAGGACGCAATCTCGCTCGGTTAGACCCAACCATACACCTTTCCTTCGTGCCGTCACCCGCCCCGACGGCATGGGCGACGTGTGCGGCGAGAGTTGCTTGCACCTCGACGCTGTCTAAGCATTCGATTCATCACACGTCGACACCGCACGTCCACGAGGCGTGTGGTTGAAACGCTGAACCCGTCTCAACGGTCACTCTATAAACGGATATACGTGGATTCCCCCCAACTTGGATTACCTGTCTAAACTAATACGTATTCATCACGGACCAGAAAGCATGGCAACGAAGGCGCACGGGGCGGGGATGCCACGAGTTCCATGAGTTTGCCCACCGAAGGGTGCGTGCCAAGACACACAGGATCGATGCGACGGCCGAAGACTCGATGCGTGCACTTGACGACACCGACTGTGTCAAACGAGTCGAACTTCTCACAAGAGGTCGACGCACTGGATCGATCACTCCATGGCGGCAACTGCATACACCGAGAGCTCTCTGAGCACATTTCGTAAAATGCCACGTGATTTCAGAGTCACCCATTCCATCGATCCTCGCCCTTCGGTATGACCTCGGTCGTCGCCTTGTGTTTTCCCCTGGTAGCCTGTCGAAGCGCATGGGGTTGTGGCGGTCAGTGCCCGATCACGAGCGCGTTGTAGACACCGACTCCACATTTGTCGCTCCATCGACCACTCCAGGCGCTGTCAGTGTTGCCAAACGTTGATTCAAAAGCCGCCGCATAGGGTTTTGCACGCTTGCATGGGCTTTGGGAATGCCAATGGCTTCTCGATGTGTACACTCTACGCCATTGAAAATGACATTGGCACGACCGCCGATGACACTGATGGAGCACTCCAGACTCGAACTGCACTCGCCGTTCTGCTTGGACTTCGAACGCTTCGTCGATTTGTTCGTCTCGACTTCGCGGGACCATGGCTTTTCGAATTCACGTCGAGCACGGTTGACACGCATTCCAAGTCGGGGGTCACGACAATGGAAAATGCAACGGGGAGGTTCGTCGTCGGACAGCACGGGAGCCACAGATTCGCCGTGTAGGCGAGGCGGTCCCCCAAGCCGCCGAGGAGACTCACAAAGGGCATCTATCATAACACGTTAGCGTCAGCTGGTCACCCAACTCGGACATTGTCGCCATGCACACGATCGCCAGTAGTTCCAGGTCGAGGAAGGGCGCCGATTACGACGTCAAGCGACTGAAACGAGGGGCATGCAATGCCAAAATCCCCCGGCGCCGCTTGTCCGAGCTCGGGCGTAACTGGATAGGGTGGCGTACTGGTGGGTTAACACACTCGAGAAGGCACCGAAGTGAAGTTGGTACAGACATCCATCGATTCATGCAGAGCGTAGTGGGGATCTTCGCCGCATGCTGCTTGGATGATGGGTCCGTCGTAAAAAACGAGACCGATAGCAGCGGGCTACCTAGTCGGTTCGAATCCATCATTCCAGGGGCGGCGTCCGTCGGGGAATAGGTTGGGAAAATGCTAGTTAAGGGCGTGGCACACGACGCTGGTTCACAGGTACCGCAGTGGGGACAGGTGGCGCTGCATGTTGCGGACGTCACCGCTGAACTGGGCGCACGAAGTGGAGCAGAGGAACCGTTCTACTCGTGGAGGACGCGCGCGCGCACCTATTACACAGCAGACTTGGATGAAAAAAAGGTTACTGCACTCTCAGTTTGAACGACACCAGGGTCGATCCAGTCGTGCGCCGTTCGCGGAGCAGCAGGCCGTGCCGTTGTTTGTACAAAGTGCACCCCATCAGACTACAATATTCCAGTGTACGTAAACCTCCAAATCAACCTTGAAGTCGTGATCTACATACCGTTCAGTTTGGGGGGCTCACAGGGGCTCGTATGCTACGTGTCAAGGCAATTTTGGCACCCCCCACGAATGCAAACATGCGCTTGCATTCGCCATGCGAGCTTGTTTGACGGGTGAGTTGGCGAGGTCCAGCACAACGTATGCAGCTCTTCAGACCATTGTGTCGACAATGCCATACACGTTCTGCCCGACAAGCGAACAACGAGAGAGCGATCGACCGAGTCATGTGTTCATGGGGCGGCTTTGAATCGCTCGTACAGATGCTCCCCATGCCAGCCTTGTCAGCGTCGCCCCGACCAATGGTCGCCCCCGAGATTTCCCCAACGTCGTGGGCATCCCATCGACGTTAATTTCATCCTGGCGCTCAAACTCCCTGGCAGGCCTGACGACGAAGGCGTGGGGGCATCTACCCTGAAGTTACACTGGCAATTCCACCGACAGATATGTGGTCTGCAGCTGCCACTTTATGTGCTGCTTCGAATTCCACGACGGACCACGAGATTTGAGAACCCGAGGCGGGGAAATCCTCGCGAACCGTCCTGTCATCATCGCCCGAGCACGTGCCATCCCCAGGAAGGCAAGCTAACGGTACGTATTCCTTAAGCCACGCCACTCGACTTTGGCATGCGACGCTGATTGCAGCGTAATTTCTCCACGGCCGCTCGGCTCGGTGGCCCCAAATCGTCGAGACAAATCTGTTTTTCCACAGGTGCATGCAGTGTGCACTCCTTCAACTGCTTAATTGTAAAGGTAGGAAGAACAAAAGCATGCTCGGTGCGTCAAGTGTCGTGTTGAGGCGGAAGGAGAAGCTTGGGGAGCACATGAAGCGGATCAAGGGCAATTGGAGGACTGGCTCACTTGACACTGGCAATGAAAAACGCTATGCTTGCATAGATGCCATCCCGTGATCGAAAGCGGTTGTACTTGAGCAAGATGTGACGGGTGGTTGCATGCAGGGTCGCATCGTACACCCTGCATTGTGGTCACAACATAAAGCCAGCCGTGAGAGCCAGGAAGGAGAACGCGTAGGTGGGCACGCATCTTGCGGCAATTCATGCTGGTACCTATCTCTGGTCACGGCGGTGCTGAACATGAGGATTTCGAACGGGCAGAGTGCCACGACGTCTACAAGCCTCTAGAGGGTCACTTTCTCAGCATCAATCCATCATGTTCTTTTGAAGGAGACCATGAACTGCCGCGCTGCCTCATGCAGCAGACGTTGCCATGGCCCCCCCTCTGTTACGGTGCATAATCCGGATAATGGTACGTAGCCGGAAATCGACAGAGTCGGCGCTGTGATTGGCTGGTGGATATAACGCCGTGATGGTTGGCATTCATTTCGTTCGCCAAGTACGACGCCATGGCCGCGCGCGACGTCATTCGCTTCCTGAAGAAGGCCGAGATCAGCTTCTCCTCCTTTGATTCCCGGGCAACCGGCGCATGGTACACTGCATAATGGAGGCATATCCCGACGTTATGAATCTGTAGCGAGTTCTACCGCCAGTTGAACGCGACCAAGACGAAGAAAGTCAACCCCAAGTGCGAAGTTGTATACAACGTGGCGGTACACGGCAAGAGCGACCCCTTAATCAAGCTGACCTTCAGTGCGTCCAATCCATCTACTTCATCTCGAGACGTGTCGTTGTCCTTACAATGTGCTTCCTACCCTCCTAGTCAACGACAAGCAGGAGAAATACCACGTGCCCGGCCGAGATGTGCGCGACATTTTCAATGACATCGAGTATCACTGCTCGCAAATCGAATCCGACCTCGAAGCTCAAGGCAAGAGCATGGACTAAGCCGAATGCATTTCCTTTCCTTTTGTAGTAAGTTCGACGTCGTCGTTCCTGTTGGCCACAGCAGCATCACATATTGTGCAAGTTGGAGTGCGTACAAGTCCCTGACTCCAGCATCATGCAGTCCAGGCAATGCGCGTTGCAATGCCTTGGCACCCACGTGCTGCTGTCAATCTGAGTCCTTGGATACGGGGCATGGAAGTCCCCATCGGCAACACACGTCGGCAAGCACGCTTGCTCTCTTCCGAAAGAACACGTGGGCGCTATGCGCTGTCGGTAGATGAATAACCTCGGAGGGTTTCATGGTATAGGGACACCGCCTTGGATGACAAGTAATTAATTTCACAGTGGTCGACATCATCGAGGAACCAAATGGCCACAATTTGATCAATCAACACAAAATCATCACAAAAATAAAAATTTGGCATGAGGACAGTACTACCCATAACACACAAGGATCTACTACAGTACTACCTCTGTTCCATACAGTGATGCCTCCATTTTTGCAACAGGACACATTCAATATCCTCCGAGAACTAATTCATTCATTTCGAGCAGTAAGATTTGAAATTGAAACTTGTACAGCGACGGAAGAAATGCCATCGGCTGGCGAGCGTGCTCATTCGAGTCCGTACGTACTACAGAGACGTGCCGTCTCCACGACGACTGGA